TTTATTGTTTATTATATAACAACACAACTGTAAATGTAGTTCAACTGTTGAAGATCCTGCTTTGATTTGTCGTTGTACGCTTCGAGACTAGATAGCAACATATAAGTGTTCCGCCATCCCCGGTACAGTTCCATTCCGGTACATAGGATCCATGTCCTTCCTTGATGGTGTTTGCGTTTCCTAGCGGATTGGCCATCAAAGGCAACGGGCGGGTGGGCACAGGCGAAACCGTGTTGGTCGGTTTGGCCAGTTTCTAATTTCCATAGCCATAGCATTACCCAGTAGGCTGATGCAAAATTTGAAATTTTCGCTCCACAGTGTTCAAACGGTTTCAAATCGGGCCCTGATTAGCCTCCGGAAGTTTAAACTCATTTGATAAGAAACTGACTTGGCACAAACCATTTTAAGTGTATATGGAAATTACTATGGGAAAAGAAAACTTTTTGTTCATTGTCTTCTAGCCTTTTTACATATTGTACTGTTAAAAAATCTATTGCTATTCTTATGGGAATTTTTATCAGCTTCAACTTTGCAGAAAATCGTTTTTCAGCCAAACGTCAAATTAAATAGTTATTAATTGTTTGAGAGATTGATAATCTTATGGCAAGATTAAACAACTGTATTGTGGGCAACACTGTATTCTGCAGTGTGACATAGTAGCCATGATTTTTGTCCTCTATTCTACGCGCCATAAACACCAATGATGCCTGCTGAACAGTTGATTGAGCATAATCATAAGACATCAGTGACTTAAATCATTAATAACTTTTGTTCCTTACATTTGATCGAAAAATGGTCTTGAACAAAGTTGTAGCTGAGCAAATTTTCAACAAGCTCAGCTATCATTTTCTAAAGTAGAGTGAACTGATAAATTTTGAGATCGATATGAACCGAAATTATGGTTTCTCCAAGTAATTCCCATATAAACTTCAAATGGTTTGTGCCAAGTCAGTTTCTCACTAAATGAGTTCAAATTTTAAGAGCCTAATCAGGGCCCAATTTGGAACCGTTGGAGCACTGTGGAGCAAACATTTTAAATTTTGCATCAGTCTATTACCCAGTCTAGTTGGTATGTACGAGCAATTTACGATGATACGAGATCAGACTTCCTCAAATTTTTCTCCACAGGTGTAACAATTTTTATTACGTTCAGAGAATTTTCGTCCCTACAGGGATTTGTATTACGAACGTACATAAACTGACGTTGAATGTCTACCGAATTGTTTTTGATTTCCATGGACTCGAGACCCAACCCGTCTGCACCATAGGTAAACTCAACGATTTCACCGATCGCATTTCGAACCGTACCATCGTCCAATACGATCAGATCTACCAGGTATTTTACCAACCATCGCTGAAGATAACCCGATTCGGCCGTAAGGACTCGGAAGGTGTGAGGCCCGAATTGAAGCTGTTCTGAATGAAACCCGCTAGGATTTTCGCTGTGAATCGGATGAATGGATCTGAGTTTTGCTAGTTGTGAAGGGATCATGGTTCAGAAAATGCTTACAATATGTGTCTAACTGTTGCAAGGAACGATTCGCAAATCGCTGTTTCACCAGTTTCAAGTTTCAAGTATGAAATATAATTTTCTAACTCTAGGTTCACTTCAAGGTAAACAAAGTAGTCAACTTAAGCAACGATTGGCGAAACGTCAACACTCAACAGTCATGCCGATTTGTATTATATTGTTTGTATCCTACTTGCCAGTGTGTCTCTTAAAGTGCCAAACTGTGCCGATCAGTGTGGCATACTGTGTTCTGGCACAGTGTGCAGTGTTGATTACCCCTTGTTTTTATTATTATTTATAGACCCATGGAATTTGTTTCTCTAAACCTGAAGAATTAACTTATTTTAGATTTCACTTTCATGGGAGCCATTCAATAATTACGTACGCACTTAGTGGGGGAGGAAGTGCACACTTATTAAAAATCATGTCAATTTAGGTGCTCTGAGACTGACATATACGAGCGTCAATTTTGACCTAAAATTGAGTCATAATAGATACGAAATTCAACTCAATCAAACGTACTTTTCGTCGAGTACCGAACTTTTCAGTCTCGGAGCACCTAATTTTACGTGACATGTTTGTTTACGTCTCATCCTTTATGTCAAAGATGGATTCCGTCACGTGTAAAATTAGGTATTTCTAAGTGTGTGATAGAGATTTTTTACGTTTTCTTACAAGAGAGACCCCGTCCTCTCAAAAATATCTTACGAACGCAAGAACAAGCGATGTTCAGACTATGTATGATCTTACCAAGCAAAAAATGGTTTTTTTTAATAGTACTTAGTCCAGGGTGACCAGCAAACCGGGAAAACCGGGAATACCGGGAAATATCCGGGAATTTGAAAAGTAACCGGGAAAATCCTGAATTCTCGGGAAAAACCCTGAGAGAACCAGGAAAAATTAATTAACCATAATACCATAAGAACACATTTTGACACCAGAATTTCAGAATAAACCAATTCTTTAACAAATGAATGTCTTGCTCTATTTGCTCCATAATTTTCTTCAGTTTCCCGTCTTATTGTTTTTAGTATTTAATCACTCAGCAATATTGAAAATTGATTTTTGTCGTCTCAATTTCAGATGTAAAGTGCATGGTCCTTAATAGAAAATATTGAAGATACTGGACTTTGGAAACAAATATTTTTTTTGTGGCCAGGGGAAGGACACCCCTCACTATCCCTCTCCAAAAGGGGAGTTTGGTAAAGAGAGATGAAAAAACCGATTTGTACCTTCCTTAAAAGTTGTCCTAGCTCGCTATTCTACTATCTATATGCAATTTTCACACTGCCGTACTCTAACGGAACTATCAACTCTATTCTTTTATCTACTCCATCTATCGTATAAAATATACCACTACAGTTATTATTATTATTTATCTTTATTAGGGAGGCTTTCAGCCTTGGGCTGGTTCGCCTCCCTACCACTACAGTCTGTTATTTGAAATTAGCATCTTCAACTATAAAACAAATATTTGTTATAACTGAAACTGAATTATTCTTTTTCGGGGTTTTAATTTTTCGTTGTTCAAAATTCTCATGATATAAATTTCAGAATTAACTTGGAATTCTGCTCTGAATTATCTTGAAATTGTTCAGAAATAAACAAAAAAACACCGTATTACCGTTGAATTATTTTTGGAATTTCCTTGCAACCCCTTCTAAGAATTTAATTGGAATCCTTCTTAGAATTCCCTTGAGCCTATCCGGAGACTTTTATTTCTTTGGAAATCTTTACAAAAATTTATTTTAACTCTATTGAAAACAGAAGAAATCTTTCGAAAATTTATTTCGAAACCCCTTGGAGTTTTTAAAAGAATTTCTTCCTAATTATCAGCAAATTTTTTGCAAACAATTTTGTTGGAGTTCTGTGATGAATTTATCGCACTAGGGTTGAAATTATTGCCAGAACACTCTAAGAACTCTGTTTCTTGTTGAAATATGATGATAATTCTCTTAAATTCTTCTTAAAATCATCTGTCATTCAAATCTCCTCAGAATCACGTAGGAATTTTCCGCAAAGTTATGTTTTTCACAACTCCTTTTTAAATCTTCTAAAATTACCTAACAATTTAATTTATAACTTGCATTCTTCTCCACAGAAATCCTCCGAAATTCATCTAACAATTTCTAAGGATTTCATGTCAGAATAATTCTGGATATCTGCTCAGAACTTCTCCTTCGAAAACTGTGTGGGAATTCAATATTTGTTTGAAATCAACACTTTGAATTATTTTAAATTTTATTAAAAATTCCAGGGTTTTCCCGCTAGATTCTATTGATTGTTATGTAATATTTTATAACCCTTAAAATGCTTCCAAGTCTCAGAGCGTGACAATTATGACTAGGGTTCAGACTATACACAAATGTTAAAGCTCCAGAATCTTGGGAATCTTCTTAAATCACTTTTTTTTTATCTTTTCAGTAAATTCCTTTCAGCAGGTTCTTAAAAATGCTTTCAATTTCGTTTTTTTTTGTTGAATATTAACAATCGGGAATTGTTTAAGATTTAAACTGGGAAAAAAACCGGGAATTTCAAAATGAAAATTCACTGGCCACCCTGTTAGTCTTACAATGGAAGGGCGGGGGTTTGGTAAATCCCAAAAACGTGCTAACGTAATTATTGCATGACCCCATGCATGACGGTGTGGAGGGGGGGGGGGATTCTTACAAAGTGAACCTTTTCAAAGGTTCTGAACAATATGAGGCTGTGGCATCCGATTCTTGATACCTTTTTATCTACCGAATAATGGAGAATAAATATATTTTCCTAGAGTCATATTATTATCTTTTAGTACAGTGGGCGGTTGTGGCGTCAACCGTCGTTCAGGCGTCTACAATCAAATCATCCTAATTTGGTTGGAAGTTTTAGATTTTCGTCGAAATGGGTATTCTACTGAAGGGGTTTTGGATTCTCAGATTTGCACCCTTACATTTATACACGATGTAATCAACCCACCACCTAGACTTCAAAAGTAAACTCCCTGTCCCGCGTCTTGATCTCTAGAGCAAATTCCATTTTCTCATTTTCTCGTAAATCCCAAGTCACTGCTATAAAGGAAAAAAAAAGGTGCTGAAACCTGAACCATCACATCTCTTCACCGTTTTCTTCGCTGCGCTCATCCTAGCCATCATCCACCCGTCAACGCCGTCAACCGCGCACAAAGTCATATTTTAATTGCCCCATTCATAAATCTTGCTGCCGTCAACAAAATAGCAACTCTCAGACCAGACCTGAAGACTTTCAGACCCTGGCCCCACCACAACCCGGGCCAAGTGACGTGCCATTCACGTAGCTGTCATAAATCTCACTCGTTATAAAGTTTCACCTCTGGCTTTATAATCATCATTATCGTCATTACTTTCCACTAATTTCGAGGGACCCCGTCCCGTCTCCAACGACACGATACATGTGGGACGGTGTAATATGCCATGCATGCATGCAGATTCTAATGTGCATTCTCTTCTTTTGTCTTTTTTTCCTTTTGCAGATTGCAGCGCCATCAAACAGCGTGACGTACGGGGGGCAATTTGGGCGGCGAACCTCAAACAAACAACGAACGGTTTATGACTCTCGGAGGCCCCGGCCACAAAAAGCGAGAAGCGAGTTGATACGATACGAAATGTAAACAACGAAACCCTCCCGGAGGAACCGCAGGACCACAGTAATAAAGTTTCTTTTTCTGTCTCTCCGCGAAGAAAATAATACAAGAAGCAAAACGAAGCGAGTCAGCCACCTCACGATATAGGTAGAGGAGTAACAAAAAGAGTAGAAAAGTTTAATGTGGTACCACCGGGGGCAGCATGTAGCGCCCAGCAATGAATGACCATCGACGGGGGCGGTGGCGAGGTACAGTTTTAATTAGTCGTTAACTTTTTGCATCAAGAACGAAGAAGAACCAACCGAGAGCGAAGTAATCGACGTTTTTCGGGGGAAGAATCGCGCGCCGTTTGACGTTTTGACGGTGGTGAGTGCGTACTGTGAGAAGTGGCAGGAAGATGGCAGTCAGCAACATCGTTTGCGAGTGGCTGCGTGCTCTGGGGCTCGGGCAGTACGCCGAGAGTTTCCTGGACAATGGGTACGATGATTTGGAAATTTGCAAACAAGTCGGCGATCCGGATCTGGACGCCATTGGGGTTCAGAATCCGCAGCATCGGAGCAAGCTGCTGAAGAGTGTGCGGCTGCTGAGGGAGAAGGGCGCAGCCAGTGTGTATTTTCAGCTGAACGATCCCAAATCGCTGCTGTCGGATAACAGTGACAGCCTGGAGCGGGACAGTTCGCCGCTGATGCTGAGCGAGCTGGAGGCGCTGCTGCAGGAACAGCTGAAGGCGGACGGAGTCTGCTTGACGGCGCATCCCTACTCGACACCGGTAAGTTTTGATTCTTTGTGCCGTCTAGGCGTCCATAAATAAAAAAAAAACTTGTTTGAATAAACCTCTGCTGTTATTTTCCGTCAGATACCACTGCGGTAGCTGGTACATAAACTGTTCAACATAGCTAGATATCCCTTTCGCAGGCATCAAAATAAAGTACCTTGCACTTGGTACCCTTACTAAACAGTGAAAGTCTGGGAATGTAATTGGAACCTTGACCATTGGAAGAAGCGTTTGCGAGAAGTTGGAAGGAATATCCGGGGGAAACAGGAAGGAACTTCTGGAGCAATTTGGAAGATACGTCCGGTGGAAATCGAATAGAAAAGGTCGATGAATTCGTGGGACGTTGCAATAAGTTTTCGGTAAAGGACAGAAAAGTACCCGGGGGAAATCCTCAAAACATCCGAAACAGTGAAAGGTAGGAGCCCTTTTGGACGAAGTCGGAAGAAATTTCTGCAGGAAACTGGAGCAAACTTTCGATAGATGACTGCTGGAGAAACCTCCTGGATAGCTTTGACGACGCTACCAGGGGAAGCCAAAAAGACTTCTACAAGAAGTCAGTTCCAAGAACCATATTTTGAGATTTTTTCTTGTAGATCCTCGAAAAAATACGGTCCTATTTAGGCTAAGCATCAACATTCTTGAATGTATTGCTTAATTTTCTTAAAATCACTTGTAGCGTCCGAAAACTGCACGACAGTATCATTAATTCGAGAAACTTAGAAAAACTTCTTTGAAATGCAGGAAATCAGATAACTTCGTAGAATTCTCGGAGAATTCCGAAGAAGCTCTAAAAAATGGTTAAATTTCAGGAAACTTCATAGAATTTCATAGATTTTCGATTCAGTTTATGGTACTTCGTTGCAAATTGTCAGAGGCCTTACTGCAATCAAGCTTAATGAACTTCATGGAAGTTTTTGGAACTTCTTTTAATTTCAGAGAACTTCCCAGATGTTCTGGAATATTCGTAGAATAAGTTAAGGATCTTCCCGGAGAAGTTCGGAGATTTTCTGAGATCTTCTCTTCATCTTCTTCGCATTTAAAGCTTATTACTTATTGCATATTAGCTTACTGCGCTCTCTCAACTTAGTGTTATCGAAGCACTTCCACAGTTATTAATTGAGAGCTTTCGATGGCTGTACCATAACTGCATTAGTATAATTGTGTGGCAAGTACAATCATACTCTATGTCCAGGGAAGTCGAGAAATTTTCCAACCCGAAAAATTCCTAGGTCGAACCGGGAATCGAACCCAGCCACCTCCAGCATGGTTGTGCTTTGTAGCTGCGCCTTTACCAACTGAGCAAAGGGAGGTCCTGAAATGTTGGTAGAATATTAAGATTGCTTCATAAAAATATCGAACTTGGAAGATGTTCACAATTGTCCATTGTCCACATGGTATATGAATATCCCCGAACATAAGCCTTATTAGTTTCTGCAGAGATTCCTCGCACTGGCGTTGTAAGTCCTCATAACTATCAATGGGATCATCTGAGCATACCCAGATCCGTTCGACTCCGAAGTAACAGGAGAGGCTTGGTGACCTAATGGCCACCGTTTTTGCTTACTGTGCAAAATATTTCCTAAAATGGCCACCAGCACCGTACTCAGCAGGTGGCGAAGGTGGCATTTGCATCAAACAATTCCTGAGGTGCGTTCTATCAACTTCTTCCAAATTGCAGATTTTCAAAGTTCTCTCAATAAAGTTCTCAAAACATGCAATAAGTTCCCAAATCAAACCCTGAAGTTTTAAGACGTATGCTAAACTTTTACAATACTCTCTGAGCTTCTATGATTTTGGATGAACTTTTATGGAGATCCTTGAACGTCTAAAAACAAATTCCTCGATTTGCAACGAAATTTGCTTTACTTCTACAATATTCTCAGAATTCCAAAGTTCCCTGAACGTTGATTTCCTGCGAAGTTCCCTGAAGTTTTCCTAAATTTCTACTAATTTTCCTGATATATTCAAAGTCCATTAAGGCATCAAACTAAACAGCTAAACAAAAAAAAACTTCAACGATGTTTCCCAAACTTATACAAGTTTCCCAATTCCCGATTTTTTACTAAAAAAAACTGAATTTCTTTGAAATTGTCTGAAGCTCTACAAAGTTTCCCTACTTTAAATTAAACTTACTGAATTTCTATTATGTCAACTTAACATCTACAAAGTCCCTGAAGTTCAAAAAAAGTCTTATGAAGTTTAAAAATTCCCTGAACTTAAATAAAATTCTCCGGATTTCTTCAAAATTCGCTAAATTTCACTAATTTTCAACGATTTTTGATGAAGTTAAACTAAGTTCTCTGAACTTCTACAATATTTGCAGAAGTTCTATGAAATTCTCTGAAGTTCAATGAAGTTCACTGAGAATCTACAAAGTATGTTGAATTTTTACAAAGTTAACAGAACTTCTTTAAAATTTGCTGCAGTTCTAGAATGTTTTCAGGACTTCTAATCAGTTCAATAAATGTAAACGTTGCTTTCAAAGGTTCTACAATGTTTATTGAAGATCTATGCAGTTCCTCGAAGGTTCCTTGAAGATCTATGAAGTTCTTACAACGTTTTCTTTACTTTTGAGATATTCACTAAAGTCAAATGATGTTCTATTTACTTTAACGAACTACCCTTGATTCTGACAAGTTGCGTTTGCGTGGCATAGATTTGCACGGCATTCGTCCACATCTTCACATCATCCTCCGACAACATCGTAACCGTTCTTGTAGCATTGGTACAGCAGACGACAACCTGGATGGGGGTATGCATCTCCAATGGCTTCCTCAGGGCAACTGCACCTATATGAACCTGGTATGTTCTCACAACGAGCCGTTGCATGACATTGAGTGTCTGTTCACTCACTAGGTTGAGGGTTGAGTTCACAAGATCTTAGTGATGTATATTCTACGTCAGCGATTGGGTTGGCCTTGTACCCCGGAGAACATTGACACATGATGGTTCTCGTCAATACATACGACATTGTCTCCGCAGGTGTCCTCCTGACAGGCATCGTAGCACATGTGAGTCCCTCGGTTGCACATTTGCGTTGGTGGACAGTCGTTGTTGTACACGCAGGGCACGGATTGACAGCCTTTCGTCAAATCGTAAGGATCTACCGCGTATGGTGGACATTGACATTGGGTATCGTGATTGTTCCTGATATTTTCGCAGGCTGGCCTACACGACAATGCTCCCTGGTACGTGATGCAAGCAGGGCCCCAAAAAGTCACCTTCAATCGAAAATCGTCAAGTGACGATGAAGCTTTACACCATCACTTTCATTTGAAAGTCATTCTGTCTTCTCTTCGAGCAGATCCCCGTCAGCATCAACAGAACCACTTTCGATCAGTTTTCATGCCGTTTGTTTTGGCTAGACTCGTGTTCATTTCTTCTTTCATTGTCAAATGAAGTTACTTTTGCGTTGAAGCGAAGCTGTTCGATCAAAATTCGAGCAGACTCTTGTTGATTGTTCGCTCGGTTCATTTAAGCGTATGTGCATAGATCTTGTGCACGTGGATGTCAAATTTATAATTGTCGGGTGGTTTGTTTACCCATCGATATGAGAATTTTTAGAATCGGTGTGACGTCTAGAGATCGAAAATTGATATGCGACGCCATTTTGAAATCCAAGATGGCGACTTCAGGTTTAATAAAAAGTGGGAAATACTGTCAGATACCTATCAATAAAGGTATTTTTGCAATCGGGTTGATGTCTAGAGGGTGAAAATAGATATTCGACGCCATTTTGATATCGAAGATGGTGGCTTCCGGCTTAAGAAAAAGTGAAAATACAGTCAAATACACATCAATATTGATATTTTTGCAATCGGTATGAAGTCTACTCCATTTTGAATTCCAAGATGGCGGCTTCCTATTTCAGAAAAATGGGAAATTCTGATGCCGTTCCATCAATATGGGTATTTTTTGAAACGGGGTAACGTCTGGAGATTGGATATCGATATTCGACGCCATTTTAAAATCCATGATGATGGCCTCCGGTTTAAGAAATAGTTGTAAATTCTATCAAATACCCATATATACGGTTTTTTCTAGCATCAGGGTAACGTTTAGAAGCCGGAAATCGATATCCGACGCCATTTTGAAATCCAAGACGGTGACTTCAGATTTGCAAAAAAAAAAGTGTCATATACGCTAAAATACGGTTATTTTCAGAATATTGATGAGACGTAGATAACGAAAATTGATCTCATGGCGTTTTAAAATCCAAGATGGTGGCTTTGCTTCAGAGAAACTGTGAAATACTGTCAATTATCGATTAATGTGCTTTTTTTAATCGGGGTGACATCTAGAACCCAGGAATCGATATCCGACGCCATCTTGAAAATCAAGATGGTGGCTTCCGATTTCAGAAGGAATGGCATCGAATATCGATTTTCAGCATCAACGCGTCGTCCCCGTTCTGAAAATTTCCAGATATTAAGGCTGGTGCACAATGCATAAGTTTCCGGGTGTTTTGACGGATAATGCATGGGCTAACTGTCAAAAAACCTGAAAACTTATTCATTGTACGCCGGCCTTTAGGGTATTTGATACTTTTTATGAAACCCGATGGCCGCCATTTTCGGCATCTACACGTCGTCCCCGTTCCGAAAATACCCATAATGTAGGGTATTTGACGCTTTCTGAACCCTGATGGCCACCATATTGGATTCCAAAATAGCAGCGGATATCTATTTTCAGCATCTACGCGTCGTCCCCGTTCCGAAAATACCCATATCTTAGGGTATTTGACGCTTTCTGAACCCTGATGGCCGCCATATTGGAGTCCAACATAGCGTTGGATATCGATTTTTGGCATCTACGCGTCGTCCCCGTTCCGAAAATACCCATATCTTAGGGTATTTGAAACTTCCGAAAACCAATGGTCACTATTTGAATTCAAAAATGGCGTCGGGTATCGATGTTCAGCATCTACGCGCCATCCCCGTCTCTACCCAAGTAACATTGCAAGCTTTATAGAGGTTTTATAGCATTCTACAAGT